TTATTTTCTTCAAAAAATATTGGCTTCCTGGGATAGACCCACTCTACTGCTTCCACTCCTGCAGCCGCCGGGGAATAAGTCTCCAGTGACTGCGTCTCCTAGCAACAAGAAAGAACTGTTAGTGAGCACTTCCTAGGCATTAAACACCTGCTGGCTGCTTTGCATATGAGCTTTACAACTTTCTTGGGCGGAGAATAATATTCCCATTTTGTAGAAGAAGAAACAAAGGTTCAAAGCACTTAAATAACTTGAATAGCTAGTGAGTGGCAGAGCTGGTCATGACCCCTAGCCTCTCAGATTCCAAATGCTGTGTTCTTGTACAAGTGAAGATGAAACAGACAGAAACCAGTGCCACGGGCTGTAGCAGCAGACCTCCAGCAAGGGCTGGGAGAACATGGCTGGGAGAGATCTTTGAAAGAGAAGAAGGGATACTGGCATCCAGGCTCACTGGTTGTCAGGGAGACGGGGCAGGGGAGGAATTGGAGGACCTGTATTTCTACCCCTCAAATTGTGGGGTATTGCATGCCTATCAGCTTTTACCAAAGGCTTTGGAAAGGCACCGATATTGGAGCTGGTAAAGAAAAAGGAAGAAAGGGAAGATGAGGCAAAGGGGAATTTGCTTCAATCTGTGAATTTCCTTGTTTTCAGCAACAGTACCTCCTCATAGGGTTATTCTGAGAACAGAAAGAGATAATATATGTAAAATGTTTAGCAGACTACAAAACCAAAAGGCTAAAGTCTCCCTGACAAGAGTCTTTCTCTACTTCCAGATCCACAACCTGCCAGCACTCCCTGCTATACAGATCTGCTCTGACAGTGTAGACAGAACAGTGTAGAAGAATCCGGATCACTGCTCCCTGGTGTCTTGGTATGCAATGACAGTAGGCCGGGAGTTTGGTTTCCTTCCTAATCTCCTAGCAGCTGAGAAAGGGGCAGCCAGTAACCCACAGGGAACCTGCCTCAGAGAAGCCTGCCAGTGAAGTGCTTGGCAACAACACCCCAACATACACAAAGAAAGGTTCTGTCTTATCTTCTCCAATATCACTTGGCCTAAAGCCAAGCTCCACTTCAGGGCCCACCATTAATAGCTAACCTAAGTCATGCAGGGTTCTGGGAGCCATCTTACCTGATCAGCCTTTATCTCAATAGGAGTCTCTTTTGTTCTCTGTCCCCACTCCCATAACCCATGCCTTTTTATTTTCAACCATTTGGTGGCTAGAACAGAGGCAACCAAATAATGCCCATCTATATCATTTCAAATAAAGGTTAGTAGCTATTTTTCTCAGTAACCAGATAAGTAACCTTCATTAGGAAGAGAGTACTTTGCTTATTGCAAGGCATCAGTTACATTCAATCAATGAATTTTTAATGTGTATATGGATGTGGGCCCTCTACTGATCCAGATATGTTCTAGATGATTTTACTTGTCTTATGTAATATTTTTAAAACCGTGCTAAGTATTAGCCCATTTTATGGGTAAAGAGGCTCAGACAAGTAAAACAATTGCTCAGAGCTACCCAACGTATAAAGGGCAGAGTGATTATTTGAACCCAAAGATCTTTGATTCTATTCTGGTGTCTTTACCGTAGGCCACACAGCACTCTGTTATAGTGACTGGCTGAAAATGTCTCATGTTGAACCTGCAGTGAGAGGTCTGAAGAGCAATTTAGGTCTGTCTCTCAGCTTTCTCTGTCTCACGCTGGGTTTGGGGTGGTTTGCGGGCACACTGCCTCTGCCCGTTTCTCGGAGAAGGAAAGGTACAGGGTGTCCCAGAAGCATATGGCTTTGCCAGGAGTCAATTCTGGTCTCCGTGACTCTCTCAGACTGTATAGATTCAAGACCCGGAGGTTTCTGTGACAAATGCACTTCAAACTCCTCTAGAACTCCCCTGGACGCTGAGCTGGGAGGGCCTGACACTTCATCAGACAGCATTTTCTAGGATGTGATGCAACCACTAACACCCCAGTCCCCAAGTGCATCCATTTCACAGCCTGGTGAAGGAGAACTAGAGCAGTCCAGTAAGTGTAACAGGAGCACACACCACCACAGCACATGATATGCAGAAGCATGCTAAGATAGGGTTGCAGGGTAACAAAGCAACCCCTCTACACTCACTTGCTTTACTACCTTAGGCAAGTTACTTACCTCCCCAAGTCTCAGTTTCCTTATTTGTGGCAATAGAACCTACCTCATAGGGCTCTTCTGAGATTGAAAGAGAGAGTATTTGTAAAATGTTTAGCAGAGTGAAAAACCAAGGGGCCATGGGAATAGAATGCATTCACTTCTAACTAAAACTTGCCTGAGTTAAAACAGCAGAAATACAAGCTCTTAGATTTTGAACACCTAGTCTCCTGTGGGTCAGAGGTCAAATGTTAGTGTCTTTGTGAAGCTGTTAAAAGTATATAAGCTCTATGAGGACAGAAATCCTACCTCTCTTATCAATCGTTTATCTTTAGGCCCTACACAGTGCCTGGCTCATAGCAGGGCTCAATAAAAGTTTTATGGACGGATGGATGAATGGGTCAAAAAACAAAAGTGCTGTCTTTTAATTACAAAGACTTCCACTGGAGAATTGATGCCTTGTGCCCCTCTTTCAGTGAATGGCACCTTCCCTCTATTGTGATAGAGAAGACAAAATCTTGGGTGTGCCACTCGGTACTCTTTCTCACTCACTCCTTACAACCAACCAGGGCTGTGAATTCCACCTCCTAAATTTTAGCTTGCAAATCCACTCTCTTCTCCTGAACTCTGTTGTGGCTACCTTTGTTCAGGTCCTTCCCAATTCTCTCCTGGATTTCTATACCACTGCCAAACTATTCTCCAGGCCTCCAGTCTGTACCCACCCCCTTCCAATCCACTCTCCACATCTGGGACAGAATGATCCTTAAAAAGCACAAATCTGATCAGGTCACTACTGCCACCACTCTCATCCCACCCCCACTTAAAGATGATCCATGACTATAGACTTTAATATAAAGCCCAAACACAGAAGCATGGCATCCCCAACCTTTATAATCTTGCTCCTGTCTGCCTCTCCAGCCTTACCAGCCAATGTTCCCCTACCCCACTTTGAGTTCCAGGTCCCCCACAGCAGGTTCATGCTCTCTGTTGTCCTGTACCACTGCTTGGGTTACTTCCTCTGCCTGGACTGTTTCTCTTCACCTTCTCTGTTCTCTTCCACATCCTTCAGAACTCAACCCTGGCACTACCTGCCTAAGATCCTTTCTCTAACTGCCCCTGCCCCACTAAGAATTGGATGTCACCTCTTCCTCGCTACCCCCAGTGCTTAGTGCTTAGCTCACAACACTATGATCTGTTTCCTTGTCTGTCCTTCCCAGGTGCTTTGTTTTGTTCTTCACTGTACCTAGTACATCCCAATCTAGTCCTGGCACAATGAATGTTTCTTGAATTGATAAGTACTTTTTCTCACTCCAAACATGAACTTTCTCAAAAGCATAGTCTCAATCAATATACTTGGACAATCTTGTGACCAGTCAAGATAATTAACTGAGGATTAGGGTGTGATCTAGGCCTCTGGAAAAATCTATTAGATTAAGCTTATAGGGAACATCTGCTTTCAATTAAAAGTCAAGACACTTGATCTGACAAATATGATCACATATTTTTCTGTCCCATAAAAATTTGAATGTATAATGTATGTGGCTACCCAACCCAAACTGTCATTTTGCCTTACTATGTTATCCAAATATGCCAACTCAAGTCATTAAAATAATAGCTAGCAAGTAGCTAACATTCTTGTTGGCTTACTATGCAGTAAGCATTATGTGAAGTTGCAATCATTTCATCTAATCTTCTCAACTACACTTTGAAGCAGATCTTTTTACTATCTCCATTTTACAGATGAGGAAACTGAGGCTTAAAAACTTTCCAAAGGTCACTCAGCCAGCAATGGATATCTAAGCAACAATGGACTAGTAATCTGTTTGATCCTGTTTGTCATTCTTCATACTGACCTAACCATGACCTCCTAACCTTATTAGATCATCAGAAGAGCCACTTTTGGATAAAAATAGCTTGTGCTTCCGGAAATTTTTATTAAAACTCTAAATCTCCTGGCCATAATGTTCAACAGTCATGATTCAGACCTGCAGTGATATTTGAAAATGGCATCACAAAGCGGGTCTCCTGGCTACAGAGATGCTCTCGCTGCTGGAGAGCAATGCTCAACCTTGACATTTATGACAATCTGTGTTTTTCCTGTTATTGGTTCTTTTGCCATCATTTTCTATTGAAAGGCACTGACCCTCATTCTGTCCTCCCTGAGAAATCCTCTTTTACAGGTTTAATCACTCTGTCCGTTTCCTTAGTTGTCATTTCATTGGGATCTAGAGCAATGTTCCTCAAAGTCCTGACAACTGACCACCTGCATAATGATCACCTGGGCACTCATAAAAATGCATATTCCTGGGCCCCAGCCCACAGCTATCACATAGAACCTCTGCAGATTGGAGCTCAGGAAGCAGCATTTTGTTCACATTCCTCAGGTAATTCTTATGAATACTAATGTTTCCGAACCACAAATGTAAGTCTCCAGGTGCTCACAAGTGCAAGTGTGGTCCCTGGACCAGCATTAGCAGCTTGTTTAAAAACAAGGAATTCTTAGTCCCTGATCCTGACCTACTGAATCACAACTTGCATTTTAATGAAATTCCCAGTTGACTCATATTGACATTACCGTGCATGCGGAGAACCTGTGACCCAGGACAGGGTTTCCCAGCATTTTTTCACATCATGGCATGCACAGGAAACAAAAGCATTTGTTTGGCATACAGATGAGAATGCCTGCTGTGACATCACCTGCCCCAGACCCCAGCCTGGCCACCCTGAGGGCTGAGGAGATTGCTATCTCAGGCATGCCTGTGACACAGCTCACTGGGTGAGAAGCACTGGACTACTTAAAGTGCACCCAGTTCTTCTAACTTTCCTCATGAGGCATAACTCTCTAAATCTTGATCGTTCTTATTTCCCTCATGGTCCAGGATGAAGAACAAGCTGTGGTACTTTGAATTTGGCACCTCGGAGACCTTTGCAGCCACCTGCAAGAAACTCCACGACCACATAGAGTTGGAGGTAAGGTCCCACGTGGGGAGAAAGATTCCTAGACCTTGGTTCTGTTCCTGGACTGTCACACACACCCTCAGGACATGTCCCCTGGGTCCTGAATTGGTGATCCAGAGTGTAGTCCCTATGCTATACCTCCATCTTCTGTAGCCTCACTCAGAGGAGGCTCTAATTACTGCACCTTTCTTGGCCTGTCCAGGGAGCCCTTGGGGCCCTGAGGCCTGTGGCCCAGAGAACCCAGGGCCACGGTCGATTCTTGCCCTCTGCCCTCTTCTCACTGTGGCCTTGCAAGTCCCCTTTTCAGAGAGGCGAAGACTTAGTTGCAGCAAGCACAGTGGGGAGCTGCTGCTGGGGTAGAGGCCATGTCCCAAGCCCGGTAAAAGTCTGGGAACTGGTGGCCATAGGGCAACAAGAGTGAGAGGGAGTTAGGGCCACAGGTGACCAGACATCCCTCAGCTCACCTGCCTCTGCTCTTTCATAGTTGCTTCAAAGAACTGACTTATAGGGACCCGGTGTTGGCCCTGTAGGTGTGCAACCTGTGTAGTCACTCAGAAGGGCCCTGCATTGAATGCTCTTCTGTCATCATCTTGAAATTCTTGATGATTTTTTAACAAAGGGCCCTGCATTTCCATTTTGAACGGGGCCCTTCAAATTATGTAGCTGATCCTGTTGGTGCACTTGTGATTTACTGACTCTTCCGGCACTTGTAGCAGCCTGCCTGCCTCAGACAGTTTGCCCGTCGGCTTCCCTTCCCGGGCTGATAAGCTGCCCACTCACCCCACTTGTGCTGGATTGCTCCGGCGAAGTCCTCTCACCGCTCGGAGAAGGTCTCCTTGGTCTCTGGCCACCTAAAAGCCCAGACTGCTATGCACAGCAGCTCGGTCTCTGTTCTGCAGGACCTCAGGCCCATTGGTTCTCTTGCCCATAGTTCTCAGCTAGCAGCCCCACCTTCCCGTGGGATTCAGGTCTTTTGTCTTGTTTTCACTTGTGAAGACAAAGCCAGAGAGTTTAGCCAGGACAGGCTCCTCCTGGCCCACTAGCTTTGTCCCTAAGCTGCATTCGCTGTCGAGGGGGGCCTGGGCATCCCTGTGAGGAGGAGCATTTGGCCCGAAGCAGTGTGGGAAAGCCCCACCACTCCCAGCCGGAAAGGAGTCTGCACTCGCAGGGAGTGTTCACAAACAAAACACAAAGCCAGGGATTCTGGGCTTGCATTTGACTCATCTGTCTGCCTCTCCCCTTTGGTTGCTGGGTTACCAACCCCAGGGTGGGAGGCGCCAATCCTGCTAATCCCCTGAACTTTTGGCCAGTTTAGTTAGAGGGCAGAGAGGCCCAGGACCCAGGTTGTGTCCCCAGGTGGTACCACCTACACCCGGAGAGGCCTAGGAGCCAGCCATCCTCTGTTGGTACATAAAGCCAATGCCTGGCAGCTGCAGGGAAGGAGGAGAGCGCTGAGCATGGCCACCGGAGCATGTGCATTTTCCTGTCGGCATGACCATCCATCTAGTGGGCTCTTTAAATATACCCTAAGTGAGAGATGGCCCTGCCTAGCCACTGCCAGCTGCAGGAGCACAGCGACTGCTTGTTCTCCCTGCAGCTGGCCTTGAAACTGGGCCCAGAATAGAGCAGCTCCGTCCCCCTGCCTCTGTGGCCTGCCCTCCCGAATCCCAGACTCCCGCTCCCGCCTCCACGCCAGCCTTGCTTAAGGTCCCCTCTGGGTCCAAGTTGCAAGGGCTCGTCCTCAAGTGCACAGCAGGCTGGTAGCCTGGCTGCTAAAGATGCTGGTGGCCTCTGGTGGGGGAGAGGGTGGCTTTTAGGGGCCCTTCCTGTTTTCCTTACCTCCTCATAATGAGTCTTTTTAGCATTTATTCATGAGGCTAAGGGTTGGGGTGTCACGTGACAGGCCTCTCCTAACAGTCAGCAAGATTGGAGCAGGCATTTTTGCATCTAGAGAGCAGTGAATGGATATCGGTCCTGTGCCTTGTGGTCCAGAGGGGGACAGAAACAGAGAAGGGCAAGCCACGTGACAGGTGTGGGGGGGCTGCAGAGGTAAATGTGAGAGCGTCAGGGGCCTCAGGAAGAGCAGGAGGAGGAGCTATGTGGAGTGACCTAAATGCGGCCACTGCACGCCAGAGCTCAGGCCTGTGAGAACCAGCACACCCATCAGTTCAAAGCCAGCTCTCCCAAGAATAACCCCCAATGGGCAGGTACTTATACTCCACGGCATCATGTCAAAGCCCTCCCGTGGCCTTATTCATAGTCACACACAACCCAGTGAGCTAGCAGGCCAGGCATCATTATCCCCATTTCATGGAAAAACAAGCAGAGGCAGAGGTTTCAAAGGGTAAACAGAAGGGAGAAAAAATAAAAAAGTCAAGTGCTTTGACTGCCTACCCTAATGTGTCCTCATTTAGCACAATAACTCAGTGGGGCAGGTACCACTACATTTTTTTATGAGACTGACGCGCTGCCTACTGCGCTAAGAAGGCAACTCCACCACATTTTAAAAAAATATTTTTTTTTTATTGATTTTACAAAGAAAGGAAGGGAGAGAGAGATACAAACATTGACTGGCTGCCTCCTGCATGCCCCCCACTGGGGATTGGGCCCACAACCTGGGCATGAGCCCTGATTGGGAATCGAACTGGCAACCTCTTGGTGCATGGGTCAATGCTCAACCACTGAGCCATGCCAGCCGGGCCCACCACATTTTTTAAATGAAGAACCTGAGACTCAGATAATTAAGTAACTTGACTGAGATTTCATTGCTTAAAACTAGTAAGAGAGAAGATTCTAGATCTCCTGGAATGAGTTTAGCTTAGAAGCCATAAACAGAGTTTTCCCTAACAAGGGCTAGAGACTTAGTGAATTAATTCTTCAGCACGGATGCGCTGTTTCTTCCTCCTTTATTGAACGGGGGACCGCTTGGTTCCCGCTCAGTGGAAGCAGCTGGGGAGGTCTGCAGAGGATTGCTCTCTGGACTGAAGACACCGTCCTGCTCACCTGAGGAAGGAATGGGTGCAGGCTAGATGGTAGGTGAGAGAGTCAGAGGAAAACTGCCTCCAAGTTTACAAAAGGTTTTCCCACATAGCATCTCATTTTGACCCATAGAACATGCAGGGCAAATATTAATGTCTTCACTTTATGGGTGAGGAAACTGAGGCTGAGAGGTTCAGCACCTTGAGAAAGGGCACAAAGGTAAAGGGCTCAGGGGAACAGATGGAAAAGTCTGTTTGATTGTGTGTGTGTGTGTGTGTGTGTGTGTGTGTGTGTGTGTGTGTCACTGGTAACAGAGTTGGATGGTAAAACTTGGGGCTAAAATGAGATGATGCAGGGAGGGTCTCCATTAAAAGTCTCACATGGGCTTCAACCTGTTCCTCTGAGGCTAGCTGCTTGTTGAGAAAGACTATGAGACTTGGTCTCTTCTGAAATTAAGCTTACAGCCCAGTTGACAACACACAAGAGGAACGATAGTACTCAATGCCTGCTAAGGAAACTGGATGCAGGGGTCCTGGGAACACGTGGGCCAGATCATTTAGGACAGGGGAGAAGATGACTCTAGGTCTGTTGCTCACATGCGGACACCAGGCCAGGGCTGGCACAGTGAAAGGGACCCAGCCTGGTCGCACAAGACCCGGGGTTAGCCCTGTTCTGCAGTTAGGCGAAGTAACTTGCTAAACTGTGAGTCTGGGCCTCAGTAGTCTCATCTGTAGAATGGAGCAAAGGGAGTTAGCCTACTTCCCAAGGCTATAATTTAGATGAAAGTTTTTCAGGATTTTTTTTTAAGTAACTGGCAATGGTGCCTCACAGGATCTGCAAAGCAGCCCCAAGTGGCAGGTGTCAAAATTGCCTTTTCAGAGAAGGGGACAGAGGCTGAGGGAAGGCAAGAAGCTCACCTGAAGTCACAGCCTGTGAGTGGTCAGGTCAGGCTTCAAATACAGATTCGACCAAAACCAGGGGGTTTCAGGGCAGTCCTGGTACTTTAGTCTGGAGCAGAGATTCTCAACCAGGGATGGGGCATATCTGATCTGCTTTTATTCACATACTTTTATTTATTTTAGCATTTTAGATAACATTAAAAACAGGCATGAGATTTTTACATTTATCAAAAAAAAAAAAAAAAAGAGCATAAAAAATACTGCAAATACTCACTCTGCCTGCTTCCTTCATGGGGACACACAGGAAGGCCTGTGAAAACTAGTCTGTTCCTGGGAAATGGGTGCTCAGTAGATTGTGTTTGACCCTGATTAAGAAGCCAGCATGTCACCCACACAGCTTTCATCATCCCTGGTCTAGGGTCTCACAGGGTCTCTCAGAGTCTCTTCCCTTCCCAAGCCATGCTTGATGTGCATTTTAACCTGATTTCACCTGAATAAACGGGGGGGGGGGGGGGGGGGGCGAGGGAGGGACACAGTGAGTCACCTCCGCACCCCAGGCCCAGAATAGCCTTGCAGAAGTTCTTAGATGTGATCATAGTTAGGTGGAGCAAACCAGGCAGGCTTCAACTCGAGCACTTATTTTACATGCTGTGGAAATTTTTCATTTTACTGGCTAAAAATAAGAACTTCCAAAATTCCTTGATATTTCATCTACTTTAGAACAATGTTCACAAGGGAAGGCGAGCCAGCTCCAGTAATATGAACCTCTGCATGGGAAAAATGAGTCCAGATTTGGAAGCTGCTCAAAAATAATCTGTTATCCAGTATATTTTGGAAATCCCTGCACATCAGTTCCCCCCACCCTTGCAGTGGAGGATTTAAAAATATAAAATACAAATACTCCCATTTTCCCCTTAGAATTGATATTCATCAATATTTTGTTTTATTCCCTTCAAGTATATTTTAACCAAAGAAATAAAATATTACAGATAGAACTGAGTTTCCCCAAATCCTTTTCGCTCTCAACTTGCCTTTTCACTCACCATTATATTCATCCTCACCCGAGGACATTTTTCCATTTTTTGTTCAGATAGAGTGGGAGGGAGAGAGAGGACAAGAGAGAAACATCAGCAT